TCCCCAAATGAAATACTCACTTGCGATTCCGAGGCTTGCGAGCTCAAGAAGAGTGGCTATCACACTGCCGTCTTGCGTTTCGATTGGTTCTATGTAGATTCAAAGTACGCTTTAAGTAGATTTCCAACTACTAGATTTAGAGTTCAATTGCCTTCAAATACTATCTAAAAAGATTTCAGTCGGTTCTTTTGAGACTTTGATTCCTACATACTTACGTTTGAATCCATGTACAACCAGCCGCTAATTTCCGTTGACTGGGTTGCTTAAATTTCAGTTGGATGTCACATGACTTTTAATTCAATTTACATAGATGTCAACTCGTTGTAAGTAGATTTGAATTAGACTAGATTGTAATTATAGTTTCAATCAGATGTGGTTAGGTTTTAAACAGATTTCAAGTGATTTTAACTAGAGTACAAAGGGTTTTAGACATGTTTAGAGGCAGCCCTATCAAATGCATTCAATAAACATCTCCCATAATATCAAATATTGTTCGTGGCCCAGATTGCTTAAATTAAATGGGGGTCCTTTGATTAGGGGAAGCGATAAACCCTAAACCCCAGACCGCATGTTTTTGGGTTCCCGGCTTGGGGTCTGCGCTAAACCCGGCAAACACCTCTTACGATCCCACTTCCGGCTGCTCTTAAACCCTAAACCCTAAATCCTAAACCCTAAACCCTAAAACCTAAACCCTAAAACCTAAAACCTAAACTCTAGAACCTAAAACCTAAGCCTTAAAACTTAAACCTTAAACCTTAAACCGCGTCGAATCCTGCAAGCCCCAAAGCATTAAGGCTCAGGGATATAAAAGAGGCTTTTACGGTGTTCAGCTACCTAGAATAAGTTAAACCTGGGATTAATGAACTACCATATAGTATTTTGGTGTTACATAGGCATAATGGAAAGGAACATGGAAAACTACTACAATGGGTTATATGGAGTTTAGGGCAATGTATACCCGGGACTAATAAGCCCCCTCCCCTAAATTGGGATTATAATCGGGATCCTAATAATATTAGGCCCTTAAACAGGAGGGGGTTTATGAATCACGGGTCTACATTAATCAACGTACCCATTGAATTGGCTTTGTACATAATATCTTGGTATCTTTACCTTTTCTTAAGGCTCTAGTAGGTTACTTGGGACTTTGCGTGGGCCTTAGACCCTTACTTAACCCTTTGGGATTCCCTTGTGATCCTATTATAGGTACCTACGCGTTAACCCTTAGTAATCGTAAGGGTCCTGAGTGCCACGTAGGTAGGTTAGGTGAGGCAAACCCTGTTACTCATGAATCTGCATCAATCACAGCTCCTGGGACACAAAGCCGATGAGGCCTTTCAGGGCTTCGCCAGGTGTCCGACCCTGGCCACATGTGTGCCATAGTCTAAACGCCCATAGTAGGCCCTAGGCTTATATAACCCCTTAGATAATCCCCGTTTAAGAAGTTTAGACTATACATGTGACGTCACTTTCATGTCATCCAGCGATCTTCTATGATACGGGGAAAGGTTGAGATAGATGTCCGAACGGTGAGTAGACACAAAACATGCAGCAAATCTTGCAAAGGACATCCATAGCAGGAGTGAGTCAGGAGGCCACACGCACACCCCACTGAAGGCGGAAGGGGAGGCTTGCAGTGAGGTGGGGAAAAGAATCGGCAGTAACCTACACTACGGTACAAGCGAGGAGAACTTGTGGGCTGATGCCACGAAACCACCCGCCGCTGCAAACCCAAGGCACCATCTGGCACTCTGGGAAGGAATTGGGACCGGGGTGCCAGAAGAACTGTGGGTCGTCGCCCGAATCCGGCATTCGCAGTCCCTGAGCATCCCTGGAGCCTGAAGTCTCGACAGTTGGCTTATGAATCACTCAGTGCTGCAAGGGCCCAATGCCAGGGAGGTGGCTCAATGGCCTTGCCTCCAGCAGCAAATCTTTTGGTACTGGGCACTTTTGGGATCTGGGGTTAACCTCGGGCACAGCGAAAGGAAGCCAGGGTCCAAGTATAGGCCTCTAGCATGGGCCCTTAACCTAGTATATACCCAATAAAACCCTACAGGTTCAAGTAAGGGACGATTGTTGGGACCCAACAAACTGGTAGGGCCCATATTAGGGGCGCATGGGTAGGAGCTTAGAGTTTAGGGCCCTGGGATTCTGGGTTTAGGTTGTAGAGCCGAGGGCTAAATAATTAAATGAATGGGCCTAACTAAATGCTTGCCTCCATAATGTTGGAGATTTGCTTAAGGTCCTAAACCCCAAATCCTAAACCCAAAACCCGAAACCGTAAACCGCATACTGAACCTTGAAGGCGAAGGTTTGCCAGAAAAAGGCTGCCGCAGTAGTCTTGGGGGCTCGTAGGCCGATCAAGAGTTCAGGATTTATGGTGTAGGGTTTAGAGTTCAGGATTTAGGGTTGAGGGTTTTAGGATTTTAGGGCTTCAGGGTTTAGGGTTCAGGTTTTATAGGGTTTAGGATTTAAGGTTTAGGATTTAGGGTTGAGTTTTTTCAGGGTTTAATGTGTCGGAGACTAGGCCTCCGACTAGGCCTTCTCTGCATTGTGATGTGATAGCAGTCACGATTGGCTTTGAAAGCCAAAGGCCCACTCCCAGACGTATGGATGACAGCACTATGACAGTTCATTAAACCCTTAAGGCTCCCGGCTACCTGAATAGTAGGCTACTGGGCTATGTAACTATAGGGTATATAGAACCCAGTTCCCATCATTTAGGTGACTGGGAGCCCTGGGAAAGCCTGTCAGCAAGGATGTATTTGAGACGGACGGTTGCTTCACAATTTGGTACAAGCCTTGGCAGCAGAAATCCTGACAAATTGAAGCCGTAGCAAGCCTTCTTACAAAACGCCGTGAATAGGCAGATATGTTGAATGTACCCTATGCCCATGCGCGAGCTGCTCCTCCACCCAGAAAAAAAACATCCCGTGCTGGGTACAGACCCACATCCGTAGTAAGAACCCTGCCCCCTCCAAACCCTACACTTCAAACCCTTGGAATTCCTAACCCTGTCAGGAAAATACCTACACCCTAATCCCGAAAGCCTGAAACCGAAACTCTGGCCCCGAACCTCTAAGTCCTACACCCTACAGTAGAAGCCGGCAAGCTGGAACATCGTACCCCCCCTGCCCCGAGGGCTAAGCCGAAAAGCTCTAAGCCCCAAAAACCCAAACCCCAAAATCCAAAACCTCTGAAGCCGCAAAACCCAGTAACTAGAGCCCCAACCCCGCAGCCCAAAAACCTTAAAAGTTCATCCCCAAACCCGAAAATCCTATATAAACCCTAAGCTCCAAAATTCTAAGCCCCCAATACACCAAAATCCTTACCCCCGAAACCACCAAACCCTAAACCCCTAGATCCCAAATCCGAAAACCCTATAAATCCATCCGAAACCCTAAACCCTACCCAAACCCAAAGCCTTACATCCTAAACCCGAAATCCTAAACCCTAAACCTTAAGCCGAAGGGTCCAAGGACCCAAATAATCGGGATTTGGGGCTCAAATACCATTACTGTTATAGTATTTGGGCCCTAAAACCCTGTTATTTGGGCCCTTGGACCCTAAACCTTAAGCCTGAACTCAGGGCCTGAACCCTGACGCCACCACACTGGAAGAAGCCGGAGGCTGCGGCCAACAGGGTAGACCTCACCCGAAGAGTCCGAAAGAAAAGGGTTTACCTGGACCCCAAAACTATGTAAAATAATGGCCTCTATGGCTGTTATTATGGGTCTAGGGCTATTATTCTCCATACTTTTGGGGTTTAGGAGTTTAGGGATCCCCAGGTTTTGGGAGTAGGGCTTAGGGTTTAGGGATGAAGGCCTAGGATGTAAGGATTAACGATTTTGGGTTTAGGAAGTATAGGGGTTTAGGGATTAGGGTTCAGGGTTTTGGTATTGGGGGTTTAGGGTTTTAGGAGTTTAGGGTTTTTGGTTTTGTGACTAGGGCGTAGGTGTAGGGCTGAGGTTTTAGGGCTTAGCGTGTTTGGTTTCGGGCGCACTGTTCACAGAGTCCGAATACCAAAGTTGGGTTAAGATGTACGAGCGTAAGGCTCACAGTTTCAGCTGTAGGTTGTAGGGTCCGGGCCTAGGATTGTAGATTTTTTGGGGGAGGGGAGGGGGTTATATACTAAAGCTTTGAGGCTCCTTTACATGCGCTCGAAACCAAAGGACCAAAGACAAAAGAACTACCCAAGGCAAGTAAAGCATGTACACATAAATCTGTATATACAGATGTAATAGTGGGGTTAGATTTGCGGCTCTGAGTGCTGAGGATTGAGAGTCTTGGGTCTCAGTACCCGATAATTGGGTAGCTGGTGCTTTGGCAAGAGGAAGTGTGGTATGGGTTTTGAAGAAAGGTGTGACAGCAGGGAAGCATGGTTTTACCTTCTAAATCCAGGCTACCCTGGCATGTCTGAATTTTGTAAAATCCGACGTCTTACGAGCTGCGAAGAACTAAGCTCCTAACTTTCCTACTGAAAGGCTGCAGACCCACTATTCCCAACGACAGCAAGTGATCTTTGATAGATCATTCCATGATACGGGCTTCCTGAAACCTTTTAAAGTGTTAAACCCTGTGATTCAGGCGCGAAATGGTAATTTCCACGGGTCGGCATAGACCCCAATACACTACAATCCCGATCTAGCGACTCCCAAAAGGGCTCCCCAACGTTTGGGAAGCCCTTATCCCTACAGCTCATGGATCCCTCATGATCCCTTGAAATCACAAATAGCCTTAGATGTCCGCATGGAATACACACATATATATATATATACACATATATATATACACATATATATACATATATATATATGTACATATGATCTGTATATGTATTTATGTATATATAGTATATAGTATAAGGTAAAGACATGGTGGGCTCACCGTACTCCATATGAAGCCTCAACTGGCCTTCAAATTTCTGGTTCTGCGAGGCGTAGTAAACATGCATCTGAATTTCGGCGCACATGTACAGAGACTGCCAGCGGTTGCACTGTTCAATCAGCAAGTCTAAGCCAGCAGGCCTTGTGGTATTCACGGGAGCCCCAGTCTGGAGTCACCCAGAAATCTCGGATCTTCTTCTTACACGCCCGGCACTTCAGCTCGCCTTTGTCGCGTAGGCGCTCTAGGCGTTCTTGTTCTTGCTGCCTTGCAGCCGCTTCTGCAGCTCTTCGTGCAGCACGCTGCTCTCGCAAATGCTGCAGCTCGGACTGCCTGCGCTTCTCCTCTTCCATACAGCTGCACAGCTGTACATGTAATTCAGCTGTTGTTGAGTTGAAGCCCTTGCCCAGAGAAAGAATGCGAGTTGAGACAACGGAAGTCAACGCATGCCGTGTGTCCTCCTCCCCAGAATACTGGTCCCTCAAGCTGTAGCTGCGGACTTTGATGCTGCGAATGAAGACTATGTCAGCTGCCTCGTGGGAAGCCTCAGCAGCCTCTCCCCAGAAGTCCACGTTCATTGTTTCGCCATCTTCTCCAACCAGCTTCGTCCTCCGGCGCTTAGCCTCAGGCTGGAGACTGACTAGGGGAAACAAAGTAGAGATCCTTGGATGGGTAATGAGGCGAAGTCGACTACAGGGTATAGACAATAAGAAATTGGAACTCAACTTGCAAGTATCCCAAGGATAGCTGAAGGCTACTTGGAGGGTAGGGGTACGTAGTGGGTATACTCATAACCCCTATTAACAGGTTTCAGGGTTCAAGGTTCAGGGTTTGATCAGAGTTCAGGGTTTAGGATTCAGGGATCAGGCTTTGTTTTTGCGCTAGAAGGATCGATTGCGGGGAAATGCTGAGACTCTCATGCTCCAACTCCAAGAAACTTTTCTTTCGGCAATGTTCAGGATTTCCGGCTCGTGCTCTTCAAGCACCTTGCCCCGTACCTGGGTCATCCTTGAGATACAAACTAAGTATTCGTGTTCCTGTTCTTAAGGTTTCGGGCTTTTAGGGTTTAGGGCCCTTACCGGCTTAGGGTTTAGGGTGTAGGGTTTAGGGTTTAAGGAGGGGCTTCGATACCTTTGCACATACCTTTTCATTGTTCCAGTTCCTGTTGGATTTTCTATTTGCTCTTCCATGACGTCATGAGTGAGATTTTCCATTCCTACCGTAAACCTGATACACCTCAAACCGTAAACCCTAAACCCTAAAACATGAAAAACATTGAAACCCTAAATCCTAAAACGCAGCTTTTTTTACAACCTCAGGGTTATGGAGCCCTAAAACCCAAAAAGATCAAAACCTCAGAACTATGGCCAAGGTACATTGACCAAGCTGCCATCTGCAAACTCTCCTTCCAGAATCTGCCCTCGATTGCATATGTCCCGTCGAAAAGGGTTTTGAGGACGTAGGGTTTAGGGTTTAGCGAGGACCCTAAAACCTAAAATCAAAACCCTACAAGTCTTGTGTGGGGATATATGGGGTCATACAACTGTTCAGAGATGCTAAGGCGTATATATGCTTCAAAAATACATTCCCCACTCCTACCCTCGGAACAATGGGTTGAGGGCTATAGGGTTTAGGGGATATCAAATAAATATGAATTCAGATGCCTCTTCTTCGGGAGCTTGGAACCCGAAAATGGATCTCGAACGCGGTTTAGAGTTTAGGGTAACCCTAAACCCTAAAGCCATGGGGTGTCAGCATGTTTCGGCTCGCGGAGAACCCCGGATGTGGTTTAGGAAGGAACCAGAATACGGGTTAACCATAATTCAACATGGAACACCCTAATCCGTATACGACATATGAGGAAGAGGCATATAGTTTTAGACAGAAGCAGGTACTAACTTACTACGACAATACCGAAGAGTACCATCATTTGATATCGCCCGTTTCGGAGGTCATGGTCTTCGGTCCCATCTGTTCAGTCTCCGGAGTGTTTGGAACATAACCCTAAACCGGCATCCCCAGAAAGCTCAGCAATGGCGGCGGCGGCAGCAGCAGCAGCAGCAGCGGCAGCAGCAGCAGCAGCGGCAGCAGCGGCAGCAGCAGCAGCAGCAGCGGCAGCAGCAGTAGCGGCGACGGCGGCGAGGGCGGCTGCGAAACACAATCGCAAAAAGGTTGTGTATGGTTGCGATCGTTTACCCAGCTCAGCTTGGCATGACTTGCATCATCCAAACATATCTTTAAACTTCGGCTGCATCTGGAAATAGCAGCACGAAAGGGTAAAGTTGCTCGACACTGCTGGTCAAAGTCAAACTCATATAGGCATTCAAAATGTAGGGGTGCCCCTTCACTACCCCCAGATACGCTAATCATACTAGCACGGACCCCCCAAAACCCCCTCCCCATCTGAGGAACGCAAAAGTGGTGCCAGTGCGTGTGTAGCGGCCGAAGTTAGCGATTTCCCAATTCAAGGGATCATCTTGCTCCTCGTCAGCAAAGGAACTCGCCTGCAGAGTGACCTTGTTGAAAGTCAACTCCACTCCACCACCCTGGAAGGATGTCTTTGCCACGCCTCCTGTAACTTGGAAAACATGACCTGGGAGATTCCTAGAATTATGGGTGGAATTTTGGGGGTCGTTATAATAAGAATTTTCGCGTATTGAGGTCTATATTGGCGTCCCCTGCTTTGCAGAATAGCTTCTCTGGAAGCCCATAATCTCTTCACACCCTCCTCATAGTTACCTCCTAGCCCCAAGTCCATAATAACAAGCTTAATAGTTCCAGTAACCCCCCCAAAGTCCCGCTTAAGAAGAAAGAATATGGTTCTGGGTATATTATAATAAGAACCCCATATATCCATGTTCTATCTACTCAAGCAGGGATATAAATCCTAAATTCCTTCTCAACCCTAGACCCTAGAGCCTACATGGAACCCCCCCAACCTTGCTTCAGCTGCTGAAAGCCTTCCAGTGCCGCTTCCTGGAAGAAAGCTGCACGGACCTCACCGGTCTTGTCGCAGAGCCTTGCGGAGAACCATTTTCCAACATTTTTCATGGGTCTCAGCTCTCCATCTCTCTGCAAAACCTGGACTTTGAGAGTCCACGTCCTTGCAGCTGGTCCAGTGGCTGTCAAATCCTTGATCAAAGTAATGCTGGGCGAGGAAGTAGTTTCCGATAAGCCCGGCGGCGGCGGCTGGCCGGAGCTTTGGGGAGGTGCATCCGCGCTTTTGGAACCAGCAAGCCTTTCGGCTTTGCGGGCCAAAGCCTGAGCGTGTCTTGGAGCAGCGAAGAGGCTTTGCTTTGTTCCGAGAAACCTGTTTAGTCACCCTTAAGTAGATAGAATATGTTTATGGGAACTTTATTACAATATGGGCCAATTCCACATTCTATCTACTTAAGAGGACTATATAGGCCAACAAAAAGTAAACGAATCTCTGGGAAGGCTTCCGTAACCTGTTCGCGTTTCTGCTGGATTCGAGCACTTTGCTCTGCGGTCAGACCCTTGCGGGCCAAGGCAATTTCGCGACTGCGCTGGATTCGAGCTCTTTGCTCCGGAGTCAATGTGGCGGCACCATTCATGGTATTCGAATTAAGGCATGGTGCATGTGAGGACCTAGACAACCTGATGGTACCTGTTTTGTTAAAACATCTCAGAGAGTCCAAGTCCCCAAATCATGGGGTTTTAGGTCGCAAATACTATAACATGAATGGATCTTTGGTAAGTGAAACCCAAATGTTTGGGTCCCTGGACCTTTAGGGTGAGTTATGTATCACAGTGCCCCTAAGAGGGGAAACTGCAGCAGAAGGCGCTGAACTCACAGCTGCCAATGATGGCTAAAGCTCTGAAGCAATGCTGCTGCTACCATGGTACTGTAACGGCGTGAACGAGCGTTTGTGGTCAAGGGCTTAGGATTTATATTTAAGGGCCTAGCAAAGCACCAAAAATCGAGAATCGCATGGAAAAGATCATGGAAAATGAAATACCAATATCATCTGGAGGTCTTTTTAAGGTACCCTCTATCATAACCATACGAGGAACCTAGGACTATATGAGCTATAGGCTAAACTCCTAGTATCCCCCTCAATAACCCCTACAGTAGTCCCCTGTATAATCCCCTATATAACGCCATTAAGAAGTCTAGACTATAGGTCATATAATATTGGCAACCATTTAGCTCCCTGTTCTGTGTCCAGAGACAATACTGAGCCATGTCGCCTTCTGTGTCGTCTTGTAAATATCTTCCGTCCCCGTTGGGGCTTAACTAAACCCTGTGGCCCAAGCGGCTGCGGACGGACACTGTAAATGGATCTGGCGGCGCGGACAACACCCTAAACCCTACACCCTAAAACGCGAACAGAGGGGGCGAACGCGTGAAAATCTCAATCATTCTGATGTAGTATGGCTCTCTATAAGGGTCCAAGTACCCAACAATTAGGTACTTAGGATTCCTCGTAGTACAGGTTTTGGGTAACTAGGTTCCCCAGTAACCTATTATTAATAAGGGTACCCTTTTTCCCACTCTTCAGCTTTAATAAGGAGACCTCAAAAGAAAAAGGGCAAAAGGGCACTACTGGCGTACCTGGGTAAGTATATGATAATTAAGTACTTGGATCTTTGGGGTTAGGTGTAGCTCCGAAAGGACATGGGCATAACATGAAAGTCTTACATGTGGGTGGTTGTCAAAATTATGGTCCCTTTTTGGGTACCCTAAATATTAGGTGCCGTATTATGATAGGGACCCAAAAAGGGACCATAAATTTGACAACCACCCATGTGTGTCCAGAGATTGGGGGAACTCTTATGCAGCCTGAAGCTCAATTTCAAGGCCCATGTAAGGAGTCTGCTTTGGGTCGTTCCCCCACCCAGCAAGGGGTCCCACAAAGGACTGTTGTAGGTATAATAAGGCCTTACTACGTCTTACTAAAACTCCATATTGAGGTTCTATTTCTGTATGGGGGATTGACCTAAAGTCTCTCACAAGAAGGGTAGAGGCAGACAGGCGCGCTCGATCCTTCAAAATCCGGATTAGCAAAGCTTTGACTTGCAGCTTCGCACGCTCCATGTAGGGTCTAAACGCTGCACCGCAAACCCTAACCTCTACTTCAGTAGTATTCAGTTTCATGATGCGTGTTGGAAACAGAAGACTGCTCCATAAACCCCCTAAATCATAAACCCTAAACTTAAGCCCTAAGCCCCTAAGCATCGGCTGAGGACGCTGCTTGCCAGAGCCCGGAGGCCCTTCGATTCCGACCTCAGGCCGCCAGTATTCTGGCTCTGAAGTTTACTGGCCTTTGGTTAGTTTAGGGTTTAGGATTTAGGGTGAATTTAGGGTTTAGGGTTTAGGAATGAAGGAATGGAAGAAAAAATGAAAACCACTATAATGGGTTACATAAGGACTATCATACGGATCTATTCCTGCAGTCAAGGCTAACCAAAGACCAGTTTTGGTTTTCGGGCCGTATAGGGTTCAGGGTTTTATGTAAATTCGTGTTCCTCATTGTGGCAAAGTTCCTGATTGGGGTATCCTGAATTTGGTACATCCATACCCGATATTCCTTATCGGAATTTGGCACAATAAAGAACTTGAAGCAATTTCTGTAATTTGACCCAGTTTAGAATTTTGAAATTCCAATGACAACTTTTTGAAGGGGTGTCCGACATCTGGCTCTTACCACACAAAAAGCGGACTGAAGAGAAATCAGCCCGAAGGATCCAGGTGGGGTTGCAGACCCTAAATCCTAAACCGGCAACCATAAACCCTCCACCCTAAAGCGAAAGAAACCCAAAACAGTTTGGAGCATAGGTTTTAAGGGCTGCATGGCTCAGGTTATCGCTTTTCATTTCAGAGCTTATACGGTTTAGACCGCCATTGATTGCTTACAAGAATATCGGGATTGGGACTCTAAGCCTTACCCTCAACCCTAAAGCCGTAAGACTTGAACCCTAAACCCTCAACCCTTAGCACGTGCAGGGTATCAGGAATCCCTTAGGGCACTCATTCTCATGGGACGCTTCAAAAAAAATGGCCTCAACTTATGCATCAACGCGTGCGTTCCTTAGCAAAGAATCGCCAAAATTGCCCCCCACCTCACCCCCCCAATTCCCCAATTCTTGGGTTTCGGATTTAGGTTTAGGTCAGTTGCTCATCTCTCCCCACACAGGCCATAATGTATGCTAGGCTACCGGACAATTTAATAGATTCCCAATGGCCGCTCCTTTGCAATGACGTTTAGAACAACACACAAGTGTGTGATAGAGGAGAAAGTCATGCCCGTGGACTTCCTAAGTAAGGGTCTAGGGTTTACGGTTTTAGGGTTTAGGGTTGAGGATTTGGGGTTTCGGGCTTAGGGTTTGTCTTGGACCCCCTGAGGTTAGGGCCACCTTTCGCAGAAAATGGTGCCTAAACTGAATTTTCTAGTGGTACTATTCATAGAAACATCACAGTAATACACAACCGTCCTCATCATACTGACCAAGAGAGCAACACCAATAAGTATTCATGTGAAGAATGTGAACACTGTCTTGTGTATGTTCGTTGTGTCACGAATAATCTGGGCCCAGTCGGGTTCCGAATCGAAACTGTGTGGACGCAATGAAGATTGCCCAAGCCCTAAACTCACCAGTCATAAATACGAACCGCACCAGCCCTAATTCCTAATCCTCAGCCCACAGCGCTCTATCCTAATCCCTAACTCCAAATCCCGGAACTGTACCATCCCAAACCCTCAACCCTAAACCCTAACCTAAACCCTAGACCCGAAGCCAAAAGCCCTCCATCTAAGGCAAGCCCCATAAGCTGGGAGGCCCCGCATGGGCTCCACTTGGCACATGGAAGGTCAAGTTCGCTAGAACGGGCTTGACCAAGCCTGGCATGAATATGCCTAAACCCTAAACCCATGACCAAGCCTCACACGAATATGCTCGGGTATACTCGGCGCTTTTCTTACTGTTGGTTAGTAGGGAATAAGGTAATCTAATATGTAGGGGTTTTGTGGGGATTATATTTCCTGTTTCCCGACTAACCACAAGTAAGGTTTTGGGTTGATGCTACCACCCTAACCATTCATGCAGGATGGGCCCTGTAATTTCTATCTCCCATGACTACTGTTCGAGGACTTATGAACCTACTTATCCCTATTATAGCCGGCGTGTGGCCGAGCTCATAATAGGCTAGTGTACGCCCGGCCCTCTTGTGTCGCGCCACAACTGACGTACCACATTGCCCTTAGCAGTGGGAACTGTTGGGTGATGGGTTTTAGGTGGTTTAGCGACATTGGATTGTATCCTTCTTCAGCAAGTGTTATCAAAGGGACATAATCTTACTCCATGTTGGGGGCTTTGGTATTATTCACGGACATCAGTCGGTCACGAAAGTCAGGCGCTGAGCACTTTGGCTCCTCCAATGGTCCAATAGATAGTCTAGAACAATTTGGGGGCTATGGTATCATTATCAAAAATGAACATAGACCATCGGCCAAAAATGCCCTTCCGTCCGAAGCACCCAGTAACAACCCTGCCGACAAATAATGAGCAAAAATCCTGTCCTTCGGCAATCGCATAATGCCAAAGCCGCCCAAAGCCCAGACCTCACTTCGCAAAAACGTCGCCCCCTCGACCATAAGCCCGGGCACTCGAAACCCTCAACCCTGAACCTTAACACATAATAACCTGATGTCCAGACCCCAAAACTAACTTGAAATCCAAGCTGCCTATACTTACAGTCTTCATTCCTGCTTCCTATGCTTAGTTAAGAGTTACATATGTGCCTGGACCTCCCACCTAAGTATGAGGATTGGCATATACATGAGTATATGGGGATATATAGATATATCGGCCCGTGCCCGCTGGTTACATGACTACATATATATATATACACACACTTATAACTCTCGCAACTACTATGAAAGGACTTTTAACCATGTGAGGATTTCCCAAATTAGGGGTACCGTCTCGGGGTCTATATTGGGGTCCCCTTTTTGTGGACACTACCACATTCACCCCTAGTATACCCCACTTGTTTGCCGACTTGTAACCACCGGGCTAAACCCTAAACCCTAAACCCTCAACCCTAAACCCCAAACCCTAAACCCTAAACCCTAAACCCTAAACCTTAGCACGGCCTGAGCTGCCGTAGGAGAAGCTGACCTTCTCGAAGGCCACAGAAAGCCCTTGCCTTGACGTAGGGTTTAGCGTTTAGGGTTTAGGACTTAGGATTTAGGGTTTAGGGCTTCGGGTTTAGACTCTGAGGTTCAGGGTTTAGGGTGTTGTGCCGAAAAAGGCCATCTATCCCTTATAGAGCCCGGACCCGCAAACAGGACCTACATGGACCCTGCTTAAGGGCAGTTAATTCGGGGTACACCATACTGTCGCTAGATCCGGAACATAATTGTACGGTTATTAAAAATGGACCCTTAATGACCCTTTGAAGGGATATGCAAAAACACTACGGATGTGCCAGAAGGATTTCCGGACTGCCCCAAACGATTTAGAGTTTAGGGTAAGCTCTATGAAACGTTATACCTCGTCCCCGAGGTAGGTAGAATAATGGCCTTTTGGGAGAATACCTACAGCTTTGGGCTACTTTAACAATATTTTCCTACTTCTGAAATCCAAGCATGGTAAGCATGAATAACAAACGTTCAATGCTACAACGTCAGCCCGCAAACGGCGCGCAACAAATTTTCGACCGTGCGGTCAAGGCTTCTCCAACCCAAAATGTCATGGGATTCCCCACTACCCCTGCTATAATCCTTAGATAACCTTAACTAAGGGGGAACCTAGGGGGTAGTCTAGAGCCCAACCCATCAAAATGCTGGTGTTGCAAATCCCGAAACCTTTGCAGCCTACCCGCCAGGATGGTCTATTAGACCCTTTAGTTTAGGGGGGTTAGGTCTCCATAATCTACCCTTAATAGGGTCTGAATAGGAAGTTATAAGGTCTAATAGCTTATGCAATCTCTCAAGAAAGGAGCACACATCAACATGATAGGTACAGACGCTTTTTTTGAAGATTATCTTGGTTTCTCTAGGTGTGGAACCCCCTATCATGGATTTCTCTCCGAGGGCCCAGCATAGTGCTGACGTGTCGTAGACCCAAAGCAAGTCGAGAAGGGCTTGACAAATCCTGAAGCAGCGAAGGGCAATCAAACATGGCTTATGGAGTTCAGAGATTCAAGGCTGAACCGGCGACCCTATAATCGCTCGCGGGTCTACCCTCAGCCCCTAAGTACCATCTATACGGCCCACACTAAGGACCTGCATAGACCCTGTCATCAAAGGGAGTCGGTGGATCCTAGTAGCATCGAGATTCGAAAGTCGCCTGCTTCAAGTTGACAGCTTAGTGGGCGGTTGTCAATTCACGAATGCCCGCATGGTTCTGAGCACCCTACCCTTGGGCTCTCAGCCGATAAATAGCAACCCTATAGTCCCCCTTAAGTAGATAGAATATGGCTTCCGGCATATTAGAGTAAGATCCACATGTGCCCCACATGCTATTTATACTTGGGGGGGAATATAACCCCTAAACTCTAAAGTACTGCCTACAAAACATGCCTACGTGGAGCCCCAGCCAGTCCTACGAAGTTTGGGTTCTCGGGAACTCTGGACACTGCGAGACTGCGTCCGGCAGCAGTAGTGTCAGTGACAATGAAGGACGGAACTTGATGACAACAGCGTGACAATACATTACTGCCAGTGGGAAAAGGAACACCAAAAGCTAGCCAAATAGGAGGCTTTAGGTTCCAAATACCATTAATATTATAGTATTTGGGCGCTACAACCCTATTATTTGGGTCCTCGGACTCTTAGGTGTTCTTACCAAAGCTCCCAAGTGCCAAAGCATCAAGCACCTGGACCCTTAGGGCAGGTAAACCCCAAATCCTGTGTCCGGAGCCGACTTAAGCCCACTTGAGGGAATCAGTTCCTTTTGGGGGGGATGCGTAAATGGGTCAAGGTTGAACATGATCTTGAACCTTTGTTCTATTAGATTCTAGATCCCAAAGGAAGATAAGCACGAGAAACAAATGAAGCAATATGAAGCTGTACTCATAGCTTTGACCAGTGTCTTCGTCACTGGGGAGTAGTTTTCTTGCATAAGCGGCTGGGTAGGGGTTCAGGGCTAAGGGTCTAGAGAGCCCCGACAAGGAATTACAAGACAAACGCAGGTGGGCCCATGTCACTTCCCCAAAGGATCCTAAGTACCTGAATGGCGTAAAGTAGGTCTTCTGTACTAGGAATTAGTAGTATGGTTTGGGTTCGTGTCCCCTGTATAGGTACTTAGGATCCTTTGCGTTCTGAACTTGCCGCAGCCCAGCATGAGGTCATTCGACCCGCGCCGGGTCATAGATTAAGCTTTGTTCTTCCTGGTGTTTAGTGCTTGGGTGATATTTTGACTTAGTAAGTCTACCCTAAACCCTAAACCCCGACCCTAAAACTAGTATCCCCCATAGCCCGGTTCTAGGTCCCATAGCCCCTATTACTGAGAAGAGTTACTAAGTCTAGAGATCCTCCAAGTAGGGGCTGGAGGAAGGGATTCTTATCGTAGCCCCTAAATGTCACCGAATCCCAGACCCCCTAAAGGATCGATGCCTGCTGAAATGCTAAGTCACTTAGACGACTGCCAGCCCGGAATTCTAAACTCTAACGTGCGAAACTTGAAGTGCCTTGGAAAATCCCACATACTATAATATAGCATAGTATACTGTAATATATACCATGATATGTTGTAGTATATACAATCGTACAAATTTTCACTTTCAAAAACGGCCAAGCTACAGCAGATTGTCAACCCAAATGGGGCCCTGACTCCCCACCTCGCACGCGCTAAATCATGATAGAGATCCCCCCGGCATTAGGGCTTAGGGTTTAAGGTAGTGTTCCTGAATGAAGGTCTAATATATCATCAGATGCCATAATATACTGTAATTTATAGCATAATCAAAAGAACTAGAATATACCATAATATTGCGCCCTCTGAGTAATTGATAGACACTCCCCGGGCTCCAGCTGATTCTAATAACTTTAATATTGGAAAAGAAAATGGAAACTACTATTCAGGTGAGCTGCTGTCCCCCTGCTGTCCAGCAGTGCAGCGGCCATAGCCTGATGTCTTGAGGCTGCAGGAGCTGCAGCAAATGAGAGTGAGAATTCCACATGTCACAGATTGTCATGGAATAGTAGACATTGCATAAACCTAGCATTCAGCTTATGCTGATGCTTTGGAAAGCCCTTGAGGCTAGGCAGCTGATAGATTTCACCACATCTGAGACTCAATCCAAATTTGACTTCCATATAGATATGTGATGTGTTTCATCGGCATTAAACTGCCAGTGACACATCAAGGTCATTTGTACTGTAGGTGAACAGCAAGCTCCGGGTTGCTTGCCTTCGCATCAAAAGCTACCTTGTTCACCGAGACGATGTAATAGTCCTCGTGGGAAACAAGCTGGGAGGGGATCTCAAACCTTAGGGTGTAGGGTTTAGGTTCAGGATTCCCCTGCCACCCCTACCTGGACCGTGACGTAGGGAACGTAAGGTGCCACAATCCGTTAACAAAAACCGCCCAACAAAGCTATTGTTCTACACCTTTTGGGGGTCAGGTAAGGGCTACCAACAGCCTGCAATCGGGAGTGGGGGGGTCCCCAATGCTTGGGGGAGGGGGGGGACTTATTCCATGCCACGGGGCCTTGCCATCTTGAGAACCCTCCGACCTAAACCCTTAACCCCAAACCCCGCGCTTCGAGATAAAACGGCTTCACTTCACATGCTGCTACCTAGACCTCTCAACCCAACCGCCTGGGTTCGGATTGTGCATCCATGCATACCGTTCTATCATGTCGGTGAGAACCTCGTATACCATTCTATCATTCGTGTGGGAGACTCAGTGAACTGAAGCGCTGCAAATCGTTGGGCTTGAGAGCATGACTTCCTGTGACATTTGTATATCAAAAGATGAAATAGCAGGCCGGAACAGCTTTTAACATTCCTAGTTTTGTTGCAGTGAACATTCGTTCCTGCTAGCCATGTAGAGTTTAGGGCTTATGATTATCCAAGCGGACAATCGCAAGGAGGCCTACACCGACTCTGGCAGTTTTGTAAATGGGTCTAGTTTGCAGAAATCGGGAGCGCACACATAATTACCAATACAATATAATAACACCTTCTAGGTCTAGATGGTAGTTTGCAGCAGTTAGAGGCGCAAACGCGGATACCTGGATACCAATACATACAATATGAAACCCTTCTAAAATTTCGGCCAATCTTTCATCTCTACCGTTTTCTATGCAAGCCTGCCCCAGCCAGTCTTCAGATGCAATAGTTATCGGTTACCCCTAAACCCTAAACCCTAAACCCATTTAAGGTTGTTGCCGGCCTGCCAGGGAGTGAGCTTGGCGCTAAGTTCGCCCAAGCTCCTGCAAATTCTGGGTTGCTGTTAAGGAACTTAAATTAAGTTACCATAATGGGTTTAGGGTTTAGAGTTACCGTAATGGGTATATATAGTAAATAATAGGGTTTCCCCACTATAGTAACTTGATTTAAGTTCCTTAACAGCAACCCAGAGTTTAGCTTGGGGTTGAAGTTTCAGGGTTCCGGTTTAGGGCTCGGGGCCTAAGGTTCCTAGACTCCCCAAATGCCTGATCAGCTTGAGGTTTTTAACCTCCAAGCGTCGCATTCCCAGAAAACCCGGAGCTCTATATAGACCCCATACCTCAAAACCCCCAAGCCAGCAGGGTAGCTTCCTAGGCCTAAACCCTAAACCCTGAACCCTAAACCCCAAACCCTACAAAACCCAAAATATCACACATCCCCGAACAGCGAGCCCCAGGGGTTCTTAGAGGGTCTTCCTCTCTTTTGGGGGTCTCTACCTGTAAGCTCAAATACCTACGGTTTAGGGTTTGGGGTTTAGGGTACTACCTCAAATACCTACGGTTTATTACCATTTGGGTTTGGGGGCGGATTTTGGAATTTGAAATTCTAAAAAATTTCAATTAAGGAAATTTGGGCACCCTGAGTACTGGCAAGTCTACACGGGCTCGAAGGTTTAGCGGTAAGGGTTTAGGGTATAAGTCTATACCCCCTGGTTAGTAGGTATAACTCATAAAGCTGTCGGTAACTGGGTGTAGCCATCAGGGACAAGCAGCAAGCACGCAGGGAACCTCCATTTTCCAGTCACGCGTTCAAGTCCACTTGAGCCAGTCCGGCCCGGCAGTGCACAGCCGTAAGACAGTCATGTCTGGTCAATAAAGCATACCAAAACCCTCAGGAATATCACTACAGCTCCCCCAAATCAGAGTTGACCAGAAATGCTGTCCCTGCTGCTCGTACTCTCGAAGGAGTCGTGCTACTGAAGCAGCATTGCTGCGGTTCTTGTTCTTCAGATCCGAGGCCCTCAGGGCAAGCTCTTGCTGAATGTCAACCAGACTCAGGAGGCCCGTCTTCAAGAAATGATCCGTTGCGCCACTGGCCTTCATAGGGTCGGCCTTCGTGAGAGCATCCACGGTCATCTTTTGGTGCGGCACCCACTTCACCATCGAGCGGGTCTCCTGCAAGTCTCGCAGGATGATGGCAAGTTCGAGGGAGCTGCGACGATCTTGTTTGCCGGAAGGGTGCTCCTTCAGCAAGCTATCATACAAGCTCTTCGCATCAGTCACCGAGCACTGAGGCTGTCGGCTGCAGGCACGAATATCCGACTTCATGATGAGCATATGAGGAGAAATCGAGCTACGCCATTCTCGAAGTTCGACATCATGATGAGTGGCATCACGAGTCATAATCTGCAGCCAATCCACCTCGCTCAGCGCCTGAAGCATGGACTGGGTCTCTCCGCCAAACGTCGAAAAGACCTTGCGCCGCAGCTTGCTGCTTCTCCACGCCAGTGGACTGGCCCGAACCTGCTGATTGCCGACAGGGAGTCCTTCGGATGCCAGAACCATCCACGCCCCTTGGGTGCTGTCAGAAGGAAGCCCAAGCTCGTCCACTGACTCATGCTTGGTCCCAATGCCTCCAGCATCGGAAATCGCCACGAAGGCCAGGTCTTCGGGGGCCATCTTCCACAACGTCAAAGGCCTCGAAGCCGTGTTCCTCAAGAAGTTGACGTTCTTGTTGACAGTCAGCACATCCTCCACGGTCGCGGACTTAAGCTTGCTGGCCATGATAGAAGCCAAGCCGCTCATCTCGGGGCGCGTCTCCTTGGCCACCCAGTTGATCCGATAGATCACGGAGCGGAAGGCCTGGAACTCTTCGGGGGTGAGCTCGGAGTCCTTCTCGAGCCTCCGGCCCTTGGCGAGGGCCACCGGATGAAGCTGTTCCAGGATGTACTTCTCCTGCTGAAGGATGATCCGATCCTCTAGAACTTGAACCTGCCTTCCAGCGTACTCAGCCGCAGACTCTTCCCATTTGCCGAAGTGAAAGCGCTTCTGAAAGGTGTCGCAAACCTTGGTCTGCTCGTCGGGAAGCGCACTCACGATGAAGTCGTCCACCTCGATGAGCACCTGGGCCTCATTGACGCCGGCGGAGTTAAAGCGCATCCACCAACAGGGCTCAACAACGTTCCTGGTGAAGCCCTGCTCAGTCAAGAACTTTACTACGGTGGATCGCCAAGCTGCTGGAGCGTCGTCAAGGCCGTAGATGGGCACATCGATGGCGATGAGCGCGCCAGCCGGAAGATGAAGTCCCTCGCAGGGCTCTGCGAAGATGGGCCCCTTTGGTCTCTGCAAGCGATCGCTTTGGCAAACGCGTTTTTCACATCGCAGAAGCTAAAGGAATGTCCAAGGTTCAACCCGATCTGCATGTAAGAATGCCATAATCCCTTCGGTGGAAGGGGTCGGCGCGAACGTCACAAGGTCAGCCGTATCGGGGTCGGAGTGACCATGTACGCACCAACGGCTTTTGGCTTTCCATTGCCCCACCCCGGGCTGGGGTTTCCTTCTGCGGACCATCCTTGAGCTGAGTATCCGGTCAGGATATCGACGCCTGAGCTTGGAAGCTTCTTCGCCAATGACCACCCGAACGGCCTTTGTCTTGAGGACGCTCTCCCACTCCAAGAGATCGCTCTCGTCAAACAGCTTCCGGACAGCCGCTGTCTCCGCGCGCAGGTCCACTTCATCACCTCAATTGGGACAAAGCAAAAGTAGCAGCCGTCCTCGCTGACTGTGAACAGCACGTAGTCGTCATCCGAGGTAGGTCGAGCATTGGGATGAGTCAGGATCACCTTCCCGAAGAAACAGGGGAGCGAGAGCGCTCTTGAAGTCGCGGAGGAGGCGCGCTCGAGCTGCTGCTGGGATCGTTCTCTTGTCCCGAAAGTGAGCTCCTTCCACGGTGCACGGCTTCAAGAAGACGTCCGAGAGGAGTGCCAGGAGCTCGAGTGGGAGGTCCATCATCAAGACGAGGAGCTTTCGGAGGCGGTTCCCCTTCGGGCAGGTCGGGCACCACAGCAGGCGCCTCACGAGCCACGGGGAGAAGCTTCAGCATCATTCTCAGGAATAGGAGGCAGACTCTGGAAGACTCGGTAATCTCAGGCTCTTGAGCTGGCTCCTGTAAGGAGGAGCGGCGAGAGGCATTGTGAGCCTCGGGCTCACTGGTCGTGGTAGAGGAGGTCTCCACTTCCCGAGGCACTTCAGGAGCTGCAGGCTGAGGTAGTAGTCCTGGAGGCACGGCGGGTACTTCGTGTGGAGCAGCCAGACAACCACCAGGAGCTCGTGGAAGAGGAGCTCCTTCAGGCAGTCGCTCCACAGGTAGAAGCTGATCTTGGTCGCCAGGAGGTCCCTCGCGGGTCACGTCGACCGCTCCCTGAAACCACTCGTCGTAGCAGGTCCCCAAGCGAAGGATCGGAGGCGAGCTGCCTTCCCAGTACCTCAGAGGAGAAAGCTGGTCGAAGCTGGTCAGGGGAGCATCGCCAAAGTCGAGTTCTCATGGCTACCCAAACGACAGAGTTGGACTGAAGAACCACGCTTCCCGGGCCAACCCAGCGGGAGGTAGGATGCAAGTTATCTCCAGAGCGACCTCTTCGGAAACAGTACACCCATTGTCCAGCAGACCAGGTTCTCGTAGGAGTCGAAGAAGCGCGCGCTGCCCGATGGATAGCTTAGTCTCGGCCATGGCTAACTGCTTGGCTCGTTCACGGATAGCGTTGCGATGCCGAAACTCAGCTCCAGCCTCATCCAAGCCGGCGGGGTCATGAAAGGCATCGCTCAAGGTTTGAAGACCACAGGAGTTGTCGGAAAGCAACTCGCCTGGTACACGAGGAAGTTCTCCAAACACCAGTTCAGTGGGGGTGTAGCCGCCAGAATTAAACCAACGATTCTTGGCCGAGACCAGGGAGGACAGCATTTCGTCCACGTCATCCCAGGTTTCCACGATGACCTGCCCGGACTCCAGCTCCTGGCAAAGTCGTTGCTTCAGCCAACCGCCATGCCGTTCGGCTCTGGAGTTTTGCCACGGCGATTCCGGAGCAGTAACATGATGAAGAACTCCAAGTTGTTCCAAGCCGCGCTCGAACCGACCATGAAATTGTGAGGGAGGACCAAGAAATCTAACCCAATTAGTCAAAAAGGCATGCCAGGTGGATGCAGAGGTTGGAGTGCCGCCAGAGCCAGGAATGCGCTAAGGCCTCGTTCCGGCCTTCGAAGGTGAGGTAGAAGACGTCCATGCTGAGCACCCGGTTGAAGGAGAAGACTCGAGGGCACTGAGCTTTTCGCCGATGGTCGGGACCACGTTTTGTGGCACACGCCTCACAATGGAACTCGTCCCTGACATACTTCAGCACATGGGGAAGGGCGCCCGCAGCCTTGAGTGTCCTGAGGAAGCGATCCTGAGGAGGATGTCCGGTGTTGATGTGAAGCTTCTTGACAAGGAGCTTCTGAGCCTCAGTCACACGTTGAGTCGAGCTGGATCCTCCGCTTGTCGGTTCCGCGCCCAGTTCCTCAAGCTGCTCCTCATCAAGGGTGTCAACCGAAGCCGGAAGCGAAGATCCCCAGAATCCCGAAGAGCAAGCAGCTGCCATGTTCAGCCAAGGTTCCCTGAGGTCGGAGCGACGTCGTACGGCACAGCTCCCGAAGATCCAGGAACTTGTATTCCAGGAGGAGGTGCCAGCGGTCCATCTCCAAAGCCAGGTCGGGCCGTCTGTCTGCCGGTGGTGGAACTCACCAGTTCCCTAGCAGCCGCTATCCAAGGATCACCAAGACCTTGAAGAGGATCGGCTCCTCCGGGAAGTGCACCTAGGCTGCCAGATGCCGAAGTCGCTGCACTTAATCGCGTCGGAGGCGGAGAAGTCGGATGCGTCGCCGCCTCGCCCGAAGGTGCAGCCACTGCAGCAGCTGAGCTTGGCGCCCCACCGGGCGGAGTTGGCTCCTCGGAGCCAAGCACGGGAAAAGAAGTGGAACTCGCGTAAGGATCGGCCTAGCCCCAGGCCATC